AGTGCCGAGGCCAAAATAGTATTCGGGAGCCTAAAAAAAGAGCACATTTGCGCATAGCATGGACGCAAAAATCTTTTTTTTTATTAGCTTGAGGCAGTCTGGTTACCGTTAAAGACTACAATATGAATGATGCAAGACTTAAAAAAAAAAGGTTATTTTTGCCATATTTATTGATTAGATTGATCATCATCTGCCTACCCTTTTCCCAATTTTATTTGGGGTCGGCGCAGTATGTATGATTTTTCCATTCTACTCTGTCATCCGTCATCTCACTGTTTACTCCCTTCCTAGCCATATCCTCCCTCACGCTGTCCATCCACTTTTTCTTCGGTCGGCCTCTTCTCTTGTACCCTTCAACTCCCATACCTAAAACTTTCTTAGCCACATTTTCCTCATCCCTCCGCATGACATGTCCATACCAAGATAACCTCTTCTTAACTTCTCACTTCTATACTTCTTAACTTCTTAACTTCTTAACTTTTCATCCAGTGGCGCTACTTTCAGACTCCCTCGTATATACTCATTCCTAACCTTGTCCATCTGTCACACCACACATCCATCTCAGCATTCGCATTTCGGCTACGTTCAGGCGTCTCTCATCCGTTCTCTTAATGGGCCAACTTTCAGAACCATACAGGACGGCAGGTCTGATAATAGTTTTATAAATTTGTCCCTTCAGTGTTAAGGGGAAACTGTGGTCACAAGTTGTTCCCGTTACCTGCCGCCACTTCATCCATCCCGTATTGATTCGATGCTGTACAGTTCGATCAATCTCACCATCACATTGTAAGAGGGAGCCGAGGTACTTGAAATTGGAGCAGACTGTTATTGCTATCCCATCCAGCGAAATGGTTTCAGGACTGGAGAGACCGCCGAAATCGCAGAACATGTACTCAGTTTTGGTTCTGCTGATTTTCAAGCCAACATTCTCCAGCCTTTGTTGCCATTTTTCCAGTCTGCTGTTTTTTGATTAGATTGATAAATTGTAAAAATATGGCAAAAGTTATATTTTTCTCCTGATGCTAAGTGGATATCCTTTTTTAAAAGATAACTTTATAAATTCTGTATTCTGATATTCTCATAACTATATGTAATAAAATAGTTAGATTAGTATTTCAAACCAATAGTAAATTAATATATTCCCAAGGCCGAAGAAATGTAACTTAAACAGGTAATGCCAAGGTCTTCTAAACGTTACATAAACTCTAATCAAGTGTGACGCGTTCGCGGAGCTAGTTTTGCGTAAGTAGGTCGATATGAAACTTTTCGTGTCTATACGATCTTTATGGTGCGTGTTTTACATTAAGATAGTTGGTTACTGATGTTTCAAGCAAGCCTTAAGTACGTGACTGTAGCCTCAAGTATGGTAACTGCTTTGCTTTTTAAGGCTATAAGTGTGATTTTAAATAGAAATTAACGTTTCTTAAGAAATGGGCTATCAAATGCAAAAATAATGGTCAAAGTGCGGCTTTTGTTGCCAGACATTAGCGCGTTCTAACAAAACATATTATTTAAGTTTATTGTTTATTAGCAATTTCCCGCGGTTTCATTTGCGTTTATGATTACTGCTCCGCTTTTAAATATTGTAGCGTATAGCCTCGATAATTTATTATTCCTCGATAATTACTCTATGTAAAACAAATATAATTGTTCCAAAGACTAGAACTAGACTAGACTTTAAACAAACAAATACAAAACTCTTTAGTTTTGTTGTATTAGTATTGATTTTATAGACGTACAGACAGATGGTTTAATATGGACCGAAATGTACCTATTAAATAATAAGTGTGTAGTGTATTTTTTCATTTATTTCCAAATTAGTTGAACTAGGTCATCAAACCACAAACAAATTTAGCAATAAATACAAATATAAATTTGCTTAATAATCTACAACACACACAGTTACCAAATAATCTAATTAGTACTTTTTTAGTTATTATTAAATCGTATTATCTGTAATAAAGCCATTGAAAGTGAGAAAATGATCGTTTCTTTAAATATTAAAATTATGAGAAGATAATAATTTTTAAAACAGTAACACTGACTCCAATGCGCTTTAATCATGAAGAATTGTAATAAATAATAAACCGTATTTTTCCATTTTTAAATTACACCCAATTTTTACTTAAGGGAATATTTTTATCTTCAAATTTGTATGAGACAAAATTAAAGTATGTACACACTGACAAATAACAAAAAAGAATTTTCCAAATCGGTTCACAAGTGATGGAATTCTGAGGAAACAAACATAAAACGAAATTACAACGAATGGAGAGCATCCTTCTTTTTTTCAAGTCGGTTAATAATGAAGCAACTCGAGATCTTATACGCAGTCACACACTTATTTTTCTGGCTCAGTCATGACAGGCAGTAGTTGCTCAATTGGTCGAATTATATGGATATAATGAAGTAGCATTTTATTTTTTATTGTAGGCCAAGAACACAAAGAGTACAACTTACTTGTATAGAAATTAAAAAGTAAAATTGAACAGACACGTAGAAAGCAACTTATATCTTACTTTTCATAACATAAGATGAGAAAACGTCTTCTGTGATAAAGGAAAAGAGAAGTGTTAAATATTATAAAAAAATTAAACTAAATTTGCTACATACGTTATGTACTTCCGCAGACGTAGTAAAAGTCGATTTAATATTTATTTATGTAGTTAGGATATGTGGCAACATTTAGAACCAGCTAACTGCTTATATTCGCCGATTTCCGGTTAATTTTATTTTTACTTCCACTCCCACTGCTCTACCTAGTATAATTTTATATTTTTACTGGAATGTCATTTAATGTAAGTTCTAAAATAATACCTAATAAAGTTACGGAATCAATGCTTCGATATAAAAACAATAGAACGTTTTCATATCGAAGGCAAAATCCAAATCGCGGATTTGGAGTTTTCTGCTTACTTTGCTTAAGTGCTGAAAAGAATTAAGTCTACACAGCGTAATAAGAATAGATAGAAAATAAAGGTTAACTTAAATAATAGGTACACTGTGACTGTAGTACGTGATGGTACATGGCGAAAAGAAAATATCAATAATTTCGAAGAAGTGCGGATTGATGAAAAAACTTCCACCTCACAGACTAGACGGCGGAAGGCGTGCACCATTGAATCGGTCAGCTTGTGACCACAACCAGTGTAACCTGGTCGAAACGTCAGGCAATTTAAAGGTGTGTACTTAATAACTATTGTGAGCTCGTTAATTCTCGTAATACATAATAAACGTTTCAAAATATAGTTTCAAAATTGGGAAAGTTAGAATAAAGGACAGTATTAAAATATATAAAAAATATTTTTACCCCATTCGTAAAAGTTGTGAAACTCAAACGCTGATTCAAATTCGAAGTCAACCATTATGGTCGTCCTTGCGGCGCATGAACACACTGAAGGAACTTGATTGATCTCAAACACGAAAATGACATCATGACATTTACGACCGGTTCACTGACAGTTCAGAGAAGAACTGGTAGCACTACCACAAACAATAGCGTTATGGGTAAAACTGATAAACATAACTAAGGAATAGACAATACCATACAATTTTCTGATGACATTTCAGTTCCTAAAACAATAGTCAAGCGTATAAAAAAGATTAACGGCGCGAATGAGGTTTATATTTACTATATGATATAGCGTGTAGTGTTAAGAGTCCTCTAGCGTAAGATAGAGGAATGTTTCGAAAATTATTAACTGATAATCAAATTCAGTCACGAATACACAAAAACTGGTCTAGCTTGGAGGGTCTAATATAGAATGAAAGTAAACTTGTACAGCGGTCTTAGATACATTGATATGACCTTTTACTTCTCAAGATGAATTTCAACGCAAGATGTAAATTTACCAACTAGGAACTCTACTCTTTTGAAAAGTGATGTAAAATTTGAAAGTTTAAAGTTAAAAATTGGTCCTTTTATTCTGGAATCTTTTATTTTGGTAAATCCTAGCTATAGTGTTTTCAACTATTTCATGAATTACGGCAGAGATTTCAATCTCCAGGCAAATTCAAATAGTAACACTTGTAGGATATGATAGCTAGATTACGTCATATATGAAAATATATGACGTAAAGTTTAGTGAAAACTAAACTGAACCTCAATGTTATAAGACACGCACTTGGTTTTTATTTATTCAATTAATATTACTACAGACATTGAACTAGAAAGCGAAAACGAGTATTAAGTTAGTGATATCCAAAATTAAAAAAAAAACAGCAATTACATAAAGATAATTTCAGAAGCGAATTAATTGTAGAAAAAGTGTCTACTATTAAGCGACTTAATAGTAGAAACGGTTGTACTGTTAAGTCGCTTTATAATTGGGGTCGATGAGATAACTACACGTTGTAATGTTTTTCGGTAAAATTTTATTTTATGTAGTTACTTGGAGGGCCGTTAATACGGTTTTTCATTAAGTGATCTGGAATATCTTGTCTATAAATTAGAAAGCGAGAAAGTTAGTTACGAACGCGTTGCACCGTTTTTATGGTCTCATGGTTAACGATACACTGTTTGCTGTTGTTAAACACATATATGAAAGCAATCCACAATGCAATCTAAACATCCTAGCGGTTGTTGACGAAGAGAATGTGATAATATTTTGGAATCTGGAGACAATTCTTTCAATTGCAAACGTGTTTTTTTTTGTTTTTGTACGATCACTAAATGGTGAAACAAAACTGTTTACAAAAGACTCGATATAAAGTAAAGAGTTTATATAAAAAGGTTTTGATGGTAGTCATTTTGCACGTTTAATTAAAGGTTCATTTTAGTTTTTAAGTAATACCTTCGGTTCTTCTAGCTTTAATAACTTATAGGGTTTCGCTCTGTTTATATAGCAAATTAAAATAATTTATCATGATTCATGAATATTGAGACGCTATAGACAGAAAGACTAAAGTGTTACTAATAGGTTAAATAAATTTTAGTACTGTGAACTTCATGTATGAATTTAAAGAGGAAATAAGACGATATAGTAAGAAACAAAAGGTACCAAAAAATGCGATGAGATCTTGAATTTCAATTTCTCCATCTTGCAGTACAGTCCTGACGTTGAGCCAACAGGTACGCTCGAGCACGTCGATCAGTCTCACGGTGTCTCCTATGTCATCCCTCTGCGGCACTCTACGCGCTTTGTCGTCGTTATGGCTGTAGTACGGGGACTGGGCGTTCGTGTTGATGTACAGCATCGTCGGTGAAGTTATGGACACTATAAACAATACCGATCAAGGTAACAACAGGCTTGGGCTACTAAATGCTTTTTTAAGTAATCGATTCGTGACCATCTTTCAAATTGTAAGCAAAAAAATTGACTGTGTCATGGTAAGAAAATTTCGATGCTCTTTCAATGCTAAAAATGAATGTTATTTCAATACAATTTAATGCGCGAAACATGATTGTTGAATACAAACACGTTTTAGCCACTTTTGCTCAAGGATTGTAAAGAATGAAAACGTTTGAGTAACGTCTAGACCGGTTAAGTTATTGACATGGTTCTCGAATCGTAAATGGGAATATTAAACAGCCTGTTGCACCTTGATCGCCGCAGGGTCTTCGAAGAGTTCGGGGCCTCGGCGGCAGTGGTGGCCCGACGCCACCATTCACCTGACGCCTTTCCGAAATCATTTTTCATCATCACTGTTTTCACTTCATCACTTCACTGAGTCACTAATTTTGAACAAAGAACGGACGCATTCTTATATATGTCTGCCACGGCACTGTCAACGAATGTTGGATTGCAACATATTGCCGAACACTGTATGTCGGAGATAAATTAAGATTATAAACTTCCTTAACTGAACCAAACGCTCGAGTTACAGAAAAAAGTGAAACAAGTTGTAGCGGCAGCTGTGTTGCCGGCCGCCTCAGGGTCGACTGGTAACACAATTGTACGAATCAACATTGCCATCGGTATTACAATCGAGAACTGCTTATTTTTTCACCGTTTCAATGTTAAACATTACGATATTGCAATATTTCAAGCACAAATAGTGTTACTAATAACTAAACCGACGTTCGTCGTGGTTGATGCACCTAAATTGGTGTTTAAACATTGTTAGTTCTGCTTGAATTCATAAAGTATTTTTTACTAAATGTTATTTTATTATTAACAATAACTTAAATATGCCTACAGCCAAGAAGAACATAAAAATGGAGATTTATTTTATTTCAGGTTGTTGTTGTAAAATAAACTATTACGACTATTAGATAATACTTTTTGGTTAAAACACAAGTTGTAGTATTGTTACAAAATGATTAAAGCGCGTCTGTATGTATGGCGTTATAATCAGAGCATTGCAAGTTGCGAAACAATGAAGGCCTAACGCGGCGCGTTTTGCGGAGGGACTGTATCATTACTGAACTGCATTATACAAGGGCCTGCATTATAGAATGTTTACGTACTGTGTATCGTGTTTTGTAGTATCGACAAATCAACACGCATAGCGTGTTGTAGTAGTGTGAAAACATTGCAAACAACTCACGGGTGTTGAACATCATTATACTGAGATAGATACATCTCAAGAATAACTGTGGGAGTTGCCGCATCGATCTGATAAGAAACTAAACTGTATGTAACAGTTACACAAATTGATTTAATTGTTGTGTTTTAAATCAAGTTGGAGATGCTTTCTAGATCTGGAGCAACAGATAGAATGACAATAGGAGCTCTTATATAATATTTAGACTGACACTGTGTTAATTGTTGATTTGATAAAAGTATTCAAGTTAAATGTAGACTAAAAACACATTGCATTGCATACAACTGCTGTAATTTGCACGATGAATAATGAAAATTTATGATTTGACATAGAGAAAGTCGAATAGTAGTATGATTAGCGGCAATCTTTACAAGAAATAATTACAAACAATAGCAAAACTAAGAACAGAAGGTAAAGTAATCTTAATATGAAATTTAAAAAGTCGCTCTAAGACGGAAGTTTCAGCCAAAATAGAACCAGACCATTAAGTAATGTTGCTAAAGTGACTTACTTGGCTACCATTTCGTTACGTTTTTTAATGCCAATCACATGTAAACTCTTTTTTTTTTTACCACTGACCACTTCGTAATACCTAATAGTCGATTCTAGTCTACAGTTTATTCAGACGATAGTCTATTTCTATGCACAATTGAACCATAAGATTGATTTTAGTCTGTTGTGGTATGTAATGAATGTTGACTAACTAAATATGGTGTTAGTACTTGTAACTGGAATTCCATTGCGCTCTTGTCACGGTTCCGGCTAGTGCACACAGTGGGGTCGAGATCTCGAAAACAGTTTACGAAACCGCAACACATTGTGTCTCTATCAGAATATAACTCGAATGTTGAAAAAATGATATTTCAAATGAATTTATTGAACTTTCTTATGGTTGAAGTTATAATGTGATAACTGAAATGAATTTTAACTATAAGTTAAAATTGATTGCATGATAATGCTACGTAATATAGTTATTGAAATTAGGATTGGAAAGAGCTGAACCGAATTAATGAGAATTGCGTCAAACAACTGCATAATGTACGTGTTAACTATTAGCATTAGGAAAAAAAATTAAGTAGATGTCAAATGAAAGGATATATGAAAGGACAAATAAATGTTGCGGCATTTCAAGGTGGACAGACATTATGAATACATGAAAATGTGTGAAGCAATAAAATTTTGTAACTATACAAAGTCAACATGCTTTGATGTTTGCACACGAAGCATTACTACAGATGAGAGAAAACACTAAAAAAGATAGAAAAAAAGTAAGTTATTAACACCAATTTCAAGTACATCAAACACTATCTGGCATGAGGTTTTTCAATAGCGGTCACGTTTTTTGCACCGAAAAAACCGGCCGGCTGAGTTACTGCACACGGATGTTTAAACATTTATGAAACGGTGATATTTAAATTTCTATAAACAGACATGGGTTATGAGCTAATAGCCATTCTTAAACCTTTACTATTAAACACACAGAAAAAATACTGTAAACACAAATTTACACTTTCACTGTCGCGGGGTATTGAGCTCGCGGCGAGACGTGGACGCGTCCGCTCGGTTGCGCGGGCGCAGGGCTGACTCGTGCGCGCGTTCAACCCGTCCCTCTCCTACGCGACAACTCTTTGTGCCAACTGTAGCAAAATTGTGGGCGTACCAGAAATTCCATTTAAGTAACACCCCTAATTTATGAGTTGGTATTACATTGAAATGACCGAACAGCCGTCATCAATGTGCCTTGTGAGGATTTATAACGATATGAAGGTCGGTTCATTATAACTAAGCATGTTGTCAAGTAGAAACAACTTTATTCAAAAAAAGAACCGAAGTCGGTTAAAAAAACATAATTTACTTAAAGCTTAAAACTTAAAAATATTATTATTTAGATATCTCAGTTTGCCGCGACAATAGGGAACAAACAAACTTAACTGCAGTAAGCAGTATTTTAGAAAACTGGTTCGGTGAGTCTGTTCCTTAGAATTTAGGGCGATACACTATCAATGAACCAGTAAATTGACAGCTAGCAACGAGTACGAATGAGATGTCGATAGACAATGCTAAAATGCAACTTTATAGATGGATTGAAAAACTTTGTAAAATGGGATATATTCACGATAATTGTGCGAGAAACCTACATCGTCGCACTCGTCAATGTGCAGTGACATAATGTTGGCGGAATAGCCGCAACTAGAGCAGGTAAATAATTGATCCCACGTTCAACTTCATTGGAGAATTTGACTGCATTTCGCAATTTTGTTGCAAATTTATAGATTTTATGCACTTAGGTCACATTCAAACTCATCAGAATCCAATCTGGTTGGTATAACTTTGTTATTGGTTTTCTGTGTGCTTGTCTAATGCAGTTTATGTTCGAATGTTCTAAGTTCTTGCCTTATTACAACTGCAATGTATTTCGAAAACATTCTCACAAAGTTTTATTACATTATCCCTGCAATATAAACGTCATACAATAAAACAGAATAGGGTATTCAGAATGTGGGAGGTGTGTAAATGTCGCAACTCTTAAACACCCGAATAATACAGTTTTTCTAATAGACACAGTGACCACACATGGCTGGTATTATACAGAAGTACACTTAAGAGCTCTACGTAACGTAAGTGATGCATTGTTATCCAGATTCTGAAATTCTTCTCACAATTACGTCTTTACGTGCAGTTTGTTAAAATAGTCTGGTGAAAGTCACTAATGGCATATTTAGATCGTTTTTCGCAATCATCAGCGGAGTTTAAAACTTTACAACAAAAAACCTTGACATTGGGTCGTCGGTTGGGGTCCGGATGTCTAAATAACAGCACTTCCCGGATCCCTCCTATTACATGCGCAGAGTGGCACACCGTGTGGTTTTAGTCGGTCCGATTCCGACACACCAGCCCGCCGTAAACCCCGGTGGGATGACGGCCCGAGGGGTTTACACACGTAAAAAAAAAAGAGTAGTCGGTTATAGTCTTTATTCTATTCAATCATCTTCAATTTCAATTCTATTATCGTCTGACTTTAAAACAATTGGTGTTTACCTTAGAAAAATAAAAATTAGTATATCCCCGCAATATTTATGGACACAAGTTTTTGCATTAACATTGTAACGGTTTTCTCAGTAAATAAGTGACATCTGTCTCATTTGATCAAATTTCACTTTTTTGTGTGTGTGGATAATTTCATCGCAAGATTTTATAGTTATGTTTTGAGATTTCAATGATCAATCTACATCATAAACATTATGTTTATGTTACAATATATCCGTTTATGAATGCACATCAATTTTAAATATTCGAGTCTTCGCTTTTACTTCCAATATTTTAGCACCTTAAATTTTTGCTAGATTACAAGCAAGCAAATCTTTCCTATTTATGAAATTATGTAGTCTAAAATAACCTTACATACTAATAATTTAGTTCGAAAAGAACAGTTGGCCTTCAAATACTATAAATTTGCATATCAGTGTAATGATGCAAGTCATCTAACTAGACTGGGTCGACTTGATCTCTCTTAGCATTGGCTTTCTTTATGATGTCAATGACCAGAGTCTATAACCGCGGTTCGTTTTAAAATGGTTAATATGTACGTAATAATGTTGATGCTTATTTTATTTTTACGGTCAAGGATGAGTAAGAACAACAAGATGGCGACGTAACGTGAGAAGGTATGTTTATTATGTGATGACAATAAATGACGAGGAATTCTTTTATTGTTTGGATTCTTTTTATGAAATTTTGATTTGTATTTTTCATTTCATTCGTCAAGGATATCCTTCAGATTGATGTAGGAAATAAGTCGCCATTTTGTTTTCTGCGTCATTTGGCCTTTGTTCTTTTATTAGTTGTTGTTTTAAAACGTGATTATTATTAATGTGTTCGATAATTGCATCATTTGTACATTTGATGCAGAATTAGCCCATTAAGAAAATAAAAATGAATTCGGATGTAAATTTTGATATTTTCGCGAAATATTCGTGATTAAATAACGTTTATAATGCCATATGCACGAACTATCTGATTACAACTTAAGGCCAACCTGATCATGCTACAATCGAAGGTCTAGGAAACCAGTACTGAGTTTCAGTCTATCAAATTACTGTTTACATAGAAATGTGTTTATATCAATACGTGCAACTTTGTCTGCGTCTTAAAAGGAATTATTTTCCTAGTTTTTGTAACATTATTAATTGATGCTTGACCCCTATTGGTCGTAGTGTAATGTTATATAGCTTATAGCCTTCCTCGATATACGAGCTATCCAACACTTAAAGAATTTTGGAATTCGAACTAGTTGTTTAGATAAGTGCGTTTAACCAAACAAACAAACAAATTCCATCGTTTTGTAATATTAATATAGAAGTAGAAATAGTATAGATAATAGATTTACTATATTGTCAAAGAAAAATGTTTTAGTTTTTAAATGTCAGCCTGACCTTCTTTCTCAAGCTATTTACGTACGTTTATCTGTAGAACAATAATTAGAAACCAATGTTATCTAGTTTTATAAAAACATTTTTGTTGTTAAGTAAGAGTAAACTCGTGTAAAAAATTGTTACAAACATAAATCAATTCGATTTCCTTAATTGCCGTTTGCCAGCCTATGCACTAACAACTACCTACCTTATTTAAGTACATTCACGCACGATTTTATGTGGCTTCTATGTACGAATATGCATGTCTATGGCATTGGGACTTGTAGCTTTACAATAGAATCTAAAAAACATAAATTAAAAAAAAATACACAGAAAAACGCGACCTTGTGCGCCTTTATCGTTGTTTCTTTGTCTGCAACTAAAGCCAGTAGAAAAATACTAAACTTTAAATTTGTATTTAAAATGTTATAAATATCGTAATATTTAAAAAAACTGTAGTCGCAATTAAAGATCCATACAATTTCCTTAATTAGCTGAACATCAGGTTGAATAAACAGTAATATTGGGAAGTATTTCATGTCAGAATGAGAATATTGGCAGATTTTTAAAGCAAATGTAAAAAGTTCTTTTAACATTTCATTTATAATTCAATACAATCAAAACTAATAGACACGTTTTCCCATCGACGTTTGTTAGAGAAAACGAAATAATGGTGCCTACTCTAGTAAAAAAAGTACAAAATAGTAATTATTAAATAAGTATAATATTTAATTAAACAGTCAAGATTACAAAACACACATTTTTAAGCCACACATTTATATAATATTACAAAGTAAATACAACAAGTTTTAGAAAAAAAGTGTGTATTAAATATGGCCTAGACCTACTTGGATCAAATGTCGAAACACTAAAAGATGACACGATAACAAACCGTGAAGAATTTGTTCATAATACGTCCGAAATGACAATTTTGTCTTGGCGCAAGCGTTCACTCAGGCGCATCATAATTTATTCATGAAGCAAAATGTGATCACGTTTATTGCATTGGTTTGATACCTACACATTAATTTAAAGGTAAACATAACGTAACATAATTTTTGATCAAAACTTTATTCAAATTTGATAACATAATAGAATACATGTAATTAATATCAGTGTACTAACGGGGTGAATACAGGGTTCATGTAAGAAAACCAGTGATAATAAATCATATAATATAACTTTGTGAAAACTTATACCACAACTATTTCAATATCTATTATTTATTGGTGAAAGTTAAAGTGGTTGAACTCTTGAAACAGACAAATCAGATAGCCGACGCGAATAATCGTAACTCCTAGAAAACTGACAGCGTTATCAGACAGCTTCAATCTCGTCATAAGCATACACATTTATGTGAATATTGGAATATTTTGACATGCGCTCTGAACTTTCAATAGCTAGAACTCATCAACAGCTTTTAAGAGCCCACTGCTGGGCATAGGCTTCTCCTTAGAAAGGAGTTTTTGGCCTACTATACCACGCTCGTGAGACAGGTTGGTATAGGGTTTATTCTTTTTGGTTTATTCTTATTCAAACAATAAGAGGCCAGTGGTTTCCTTGACAAGTCGTCGTCGTCGTTGTCGACACTTTGTCACGTAAAGTTATTAGATATTTTCAGGGACGAAATAGTACGTTTAAATAAAATACTTTACACAAGAACATTGTTAAGAAGGCTAGGTCGCAATGTTATTTCTGACTGCAGACATTGTATATCGTCTGCATACTTCATCTATTAGACCTTGGCAGGTTGTAACTTTCTATTTCACTGCACACTTCACTGAACGTAAACACGATGGGCTTCGTAAACTGAATATGTCCTAATTTAAAAATTATTATAATTTACATACAAAAGGCAATACGAGGATTGTATCACACTATTCTTAGGTCATCACACTGTGGCGACTACCGCATACAAAGAGACAGAAACATATTATAATACCATCTAACGAAGACACACCGAACTACGGAGTAACTCCTGAATGAGCATTGCTAATCCTGAATCGCGATATGGAGAATTGTCTCGCCCATTAGCATATATACAACTATCCAACATCAACCGTTGGGCCGCGGCCCGCCAGGCATGATCACCTCGCCTGGTCGGAGGATCCTCCCTTTGTATTATAGGTACATGGCACCCGTTCATCCACAACACCAAGCGTCATCACAACACCAACACAAGGCATCAATTGTGGCCCTAGTTCTAAGTTTTTATGCAGAAATTT